ATCAACCCTTCTGTTAGGAGTCATCACCATTCTCCCATCCGTAGCATATGTGCTTCTTCCGCCCCACTAAGGCTTATCACGCAGAAGTGGAAAGTCGGGATACATGTCTTTTAAGATTGGGTTCGCTTCCCGCTGCCACCAATGTAGCGTCCCGAGACTCCCTTAAGACGAAAGAAGACACAATACTTGGGCAGAATATATATATTCAGCACGGAGAAGGTGTCTGGGCTATTGGCATAGCCCAAAAGGCCAGCACACCCAGCGAGGCACAAGGGGGCTAATTCGAAGTACAAAAGTTGCGCCTCACCAAAACCGAGGGGTAAACCACTATCGTATTACAATAAATCTAAAAAGTAACACGGACAACAGGGTAGTATTCCAAGTGTACTGTAATATTGGGAGTCTTTATAAGTGGTGGGAGCGAGGGAGCTCGGGTACCGTTAAGGTGTAAGAACAGCAAACTGAAAAGTATCAGGAATTTTAATACGTCAGTTGCCAAAAAACTAAATAGACAACATTTTTCTTCAAAAAATCTAAAAGTGACACGCCTGGTTTGCTATTTGGCCAAAGAAATCTTGACAGAGTTTTTAAATTTATCTAAAGGATTGCGTTTAAAAGTGAACCTGTGCGGACTAGATGGGTATTTGACATTACCAGTAAATTACATAACTTTTTTGCGTGCAGCAACCTATAAGTTTGATCGTACTAAGATTTCAATTTATAAAATTGGCACGAAACTTCTATTATGAAAAGGACTTCTAAACCTTATAAATCTTAAAATGCAGACTTATCGATTGGCCAACGTGCTTTTTAATCAATTGGATTTCATTCGAATCTTTTGAGTCCCACTAACGCTGTGTCTGGTTTCAGTGTTTTGGTATCTACGTTTGGCTAATGCGGCTTCATCAAGTAATTACTGGATCTAGAAACAAGGGGCACAACAGTATATCATTCCTTAATTTCTCGGGATCATTGTATATCGTAAGTTAAATACATATGGTGGTGTAACTATGCAAATGCGAAATGACCCATTGTTTATTGCTAGTGTGGTAGAGATTATGGTGCAAAACTATAATAATTTGTCTTTTCACACATTTAGGTGTATGGAAGGGGTGGAAATATTGTTGTATTGGATAGGGACCTTTTTCAAGTCCAGCTGATTCCTGATGCAGCCGGTGCTGACTCCGGTGAAATCACATGCATTTGCTGTGAAAATCTAACTGGACTCGTATGTTTTTTCTTTAATTTTACCATCGCTTTAGATTGCTGTCTCAGATGGGAAGAGCATCATGGTTTTCGAGACTGCTGGAGCACACGTACGTGTTTCGAGCCTCTTGCTATTTTTTGTTTTCGGGTATATATTTACCTTTAAATCTTCTTTTACTTCTCTATTATGCATTATCTTTGACGAACAGAATTTCTCTTTATTTACACTCTTGAAGCTAGGCTAATGGCTGTTTATAAACAATCAATTTATTTAAGGCCTCAAAGACGGCTTGGAAGGAATTTTCCCACCTGTGTCCAGGTAGTATGGTGACTGCTCTTGCATGGTTTCCACACTCATCAATCTGTAAAAAACCTCTGCTATTAATTGGCTCTTCATCGCCGTCAACCTCGGTGGACGCTCACTACTATATATCAGGTTGGCAAATAACTTGGCCTTGCGTTGGGGAAAAAGAAAGAAGTTTTGATGCTTGGCAACGTTTGTGGACAGTGGAATCTAATGGTTGGTCTGAAGCCTAATTGAATTTTATGTTATTACCTTACTCATGAGTCCCTAACTTCTGTCATTTCGATTATGATAAGTTACCTTTTGCCTATTCTCATATTTTCGAGACTCAAATCGAAGTGTACGGGCTTCCAAACTAACCAAATGCATTTCAGCAATTCATGACTTTACTTAATTTCTAGCCATATCACAAAAGGTGATACCTACTCGTCCAAAATGCGGACTCAGCTTCGTTCAACTGATCCTTTATAATGATTCACCAACTTTTGGCAATGTGAAACGAATTTGCCTCAGTCGGTCAGCTTTCTACACTTGATAGCAATCAGCCACTTAATTCACGTCCCAATCTCACTGAATGAGTGCAGAGTTTCTTATTTCATTCGTCTGCCTAAATTTAACTTCAGGTGTGGGTTAAGGCGTGTAAATGTTTGATAACTACCTAGCGTCTTTCAACAAGATTGGGGTCGGCAATCGACACAAAGGTCTCGTGGTACATGGATGTGATACATCAGCCTGTTGGACATTTCGAGGAATATTGTGCTTCTTGAGGATGATCGGTTCCAAGCTGTTTGGCGTTTTATTGCGACTTCAATCTGGTTTGTCAACTCAAAATGATTATTTTGTGGTGTTGGGATGCTTCAGGACAAATTGAGTGCCTCCGGGTATCGCCTGATGGCCGCTTTATCGCAGCTCAGTGCAAAGAACCATCTTCAAAACATGAAGAGGAAGTATTGTCCACCAAACCTTTCCAAGTGCAGATCTGGTGTCAGACACCCATGCTAGATCAATCCTCCGGCTCTTCAGGAGGTCTTTCGGCAACTAATTGGGTTCCCAGTAACCTAAGGCATCCGAAGGAGATTGTGGCATTTTCCTGGCGTTCCATGCCTCGATACCTCCCGCCGTATGTTTTTGCCTCCCCCAGCCTCTGCCCTTCTGACCCAGTCAAACATTACGTTCATCTGCTTAAGTCGATACTTGTTATTGCTTAAACTCATTCGGCTGTTTTCATAATAATTTTTTTTGAATTAAATCGCTTCATTAGGGAAAAAATTACATCTTGTACCTAATCATGATAAACAGAATGCAGCTTGATCCGGACCGCAAAATGTGCAAATAGCTCGGTAGACCATGAAGCGGGTGGTATTTTCAACCCTCTAATCTTGCTGCCAAAGTTGCACAATGCATACAGAGCCGCTCTTGATGAAATAGAGAAGTATTAGTGAAGTCACTAAACGTAACCATATTGTGCGTTGTCGAGCGAAATGCGATGAGCGATTCAGTGGAACGAAGTCGCGCTGCGCTTCTACCGATATATGTTTGAACATTTGTTCTCTATTGCAGAGGATGGCTGTCTAACGCATTGCTGACCATATGCGCAGATGGTGTGGCACGAGTGTGGGTCGAAAGCTCGGTGGGGAGCCACCGCACCAGCGATTCCCATCATCAATCTGATAGTTCTCCTTACTTGGTATGCTTTCAGCTTTCTCAATGTTAATCTCCCTCCCTCTCCTTCAACTCTACTCTGGCTTAAGACAGTCACCATCTTTACTCCCTGCCCTCTAATCCTTTTGGTCCAGATACTGCGTAGGTGTAATTCAATGTTTTAATCTCCATATTTTAAATGTCTCTTTTTACTTAAAACCAGTCCTATCACAATTCCTCAAGTACGCGTCTCCTGCCCTCCATCCTGCTCAACCACCCAGTCTTGCGTTACTACTTCAGATTGTGGTGAGTTTTATGGTTGCCCCATTCCTGGAGGTGGAGTTCAATTTTTGTGAGAAATAAGGTTTCATCAAGGTTATTTGTGGTAACTTCACTACTTTGAGTTTCTAGATCCACTTCGGTAATGCTTTGTAACCACTGTTAGTAAATAGTGTCCAGTCTCACGTGACTTATATGTGCAGCAATTTGAGATGTCTGCGAATATAATCATGGATTCCACTCCAGTTTCGTCAAATCCTCACAACGAATGTGGATAATGCCACCAGAATCAACGTCACTTGTAAAAAGTGCACTTGAGAAGGATTCCTATCTGAACCGATGTTTTTTGTCACTTCCTACTTCTAGATACATGTAATGCATGTGAGGTCATAGTTATCAACTTGGTTCTACACTATTCTGTTAAGCGTGCAGAAAATATTTATCGACAATTTACGAATGTCAGATGCCATTTATCATTGTTAAAAGTGGCTAACCGAATTAATGCGCTAATACATTAGTGGAGAGATTACGCCTTCTTAGGCGCAGTTAACGAGTACCGTCTGTCATTGTGACCGCTTTTCTGGGCATTTGTTTTACTTTAACGGATTCCATCCCTTAGGCTAACGCTTCCAGCAAACGCGTGCCGTGCGGACGTGATTTCAGGATCGGACCTGCCGTTTCAGCTTCATGAACCAATGAAGGGTAACAAATTCGTCCTAGCCGCGTCCATAAATGTCACCGATTCTAATCTCTCCATCCTGTCCCCTAATTACGACGACCTATCACAGTGAGTCTACATTCCCTCGCCTCTACCAATTTCTGTCAAGTAATCAACCAGCCTTCCTCTTTTCTTTTCCATCTCACAGCAAGGGGCCCTGTTCACTGCAGTGGATGAATAACAAGACCATTGATGTGGAACGCAAGCTCGACAGGCTGCTTCAACATCTGATCCTCCTTATTTCCTCCACTCCCATCGGTGACTCAAGTAGGTTTTACCTGGCGTTGTGTATTGCTAAAATGGGAAGTAATACCTTCCTTTCTTCAGTCACAGAACATGGTTTGGACAAGTTTCGACCGCAAATTGGGATATTGGATCAGATGCTGTTAAGGTGTCTTAGCAAGTGGCGCAGAATGCATGACACCCTCCTGATGCTGCATCCTTCCGACGGAAGTTTATTCTTGTGGTACGTTTTCATACAATCATTATTATGAGAGCTATAGTTGGGAAGCAGCAATTCCCAGTAAAATTTGGGCTTTTCTTTGCATTAATTAAAGGATTATGAACTTTAGTTGTATGCAGGTTATACCATACCTCGGGCAGATTCAATACATTAAGGACGTGGATATTTTATTTTCATTATACGCAGATATTTTAGTAACTGGAGCTTTACTTTTTATTTGCCGACTTGGATTATGTAGCCGCTCGCCCAATAATTGCATACGTGGAAGCAGCATTCGATAGGTTTCTTTCCGTTTAACCATGTGAATAAAGTTCATATCTGCATTTACTATTGCACCGTTAATGTTATCCTTTGTCAAATAGGCAAAAATTTATTGCAGTTTTCGACATACCACGATGAAATGATTTGTAGGCAAACGTCTATCTGTTGGTGCAGTACTCTATTAGGATCTGTACTACTTTCTTGTTACTTTGGAA